GTGGTGTGGTATCTTGTGTCATCTACGGTACGTGTTTGCAACGGTATTGTAATGTCTAAGGCAGAGAGAAAGTCTTCCTCCCTGTTAACCCGTTGCGTTACCCCCTCCCCCCCAATGGTTCTCCGGTTTTTCAGTACCAAGAGGCGTTCGTACACTACCTCATCGCCGCCGAGCAAGGAAGTAAGGAAGGACAGGCCTCGTTGGCGTAGCTGCTGGATAGGAGCATGGCCGCCGCCCCCGCGGGCACTTCCTGGCCCTCGTCGCTGGTGCGTCGGGCGTGGGAAAGCCTTGTTGGCGACGGCGACGGCGACGGCGGCGGCGGTGGCGGTGCCGATAGCGGGCCAAGCGGTGGCGATGAGCGCGTCAAAGACGCAATGGCAAGCGGTTGGCCTGACGAAGAACGAAGCGCCGGTGGTAGTGGGCCCGGTAGCGGGAGTGGGATGAGGAGGAGGAGGAGGAGGAGCGGTGTTGGCGGCGTTGCCGACGCCGTCCGCCAGATGGGTGGGGACCCCGAAGCCATGGCGCGCGTAGGCTCGCCGCTGAGCAGGGGGACTCAGAAGCGAGGTGAGTGTAGCGGTGTGCGGGCAGCCTTTTACCTCGAGCGGTCGTATGCGCATGGTGTTGCCTTCATGTTGTTTGGTTCCTCGCCAGAATATACCTTGAACGTTGAGCTTGACGTAGCTTGCGTGCCGACAGCCCTTTTATTTATCTGCAAGGCAGACACGGACGGGAGAGTTTGTGCCGAGCGTTGCGTGTACCTCCGTATATTTTTTATGTGTTGGAGATTTGACACAGGACAACAAATCACACCCCTCATGTGGTACATCCATCGGGAATATTTTTCTGGATGAACATGGGCGCAATGGGGTGACACAAGATACCACCAATTCCTTCGTACACAACATCTCGCCCAGTAGTATGCTTGTTTTGGGAAGCTCAAAATGTCAATCAAAAGGGGGGCGTTATCTTGCGTAGTAGCATGGCATGACGAGGCGCCAAGTATCACGTGAGAACACCAACACACCTTCGTCTCCCCTTCTCTCTGATATATCAATCGCGCACGCACACGTTTTTTTTTTTTGGCGGCTCGGCGAAAAGGTGCGACATAGCGGACCACCTGTATCGGCAGGCGAAGGACATGGGGGCGTCGCGCCGGGCACCTGTTGGTTGTCCGCGTGGGCCCGAAGTACCACCACCATGACGACCAGCAACAGCAAGTACATCAACAACGACGATGGCAGCAGAAGAAGCGCCAGTGACGACGAGAACAACCATCAGCAGAGGAAGAAAAAGCGTCTCAAACCGATTGGCAAAGGGGGAATCGGAGCGACTGCGGGCGGCAGCGGCGGCGGCTACGGGCGCGAGAGCGAGGACGAGCGGCTAGCGCGGGAGAGCGACGCGGCGCAGCTGCTGTCGGACGCGGTGGCGTACTACAAGCTTGCCGCGGAGGGCGGGGGGGGAGAGGGAGGCCTGGGCGGCAGTAGTCCCAGCCAACGGGGCTTGTTTTCGCTTGGTTGGATGCACTAGGTTAGTTGTGTTGTCATTCCTTCACTCACGACTACCACCGTGTTGAATTGTTTGTTTTTTAAGCTAAATATTTTTTTTTTTCACTTTTTGTCATTTCTTTACTCAGCTTTTTTTATGTTGCGTTTGGTGGTGGGTACCTTGTTCCAGTCGTCGGGTGCTTTTTGGCCCTTGTGTTGGGCACTCCCGTCTGTCCGTGGTGCTGGGTGGTTTTACCGGCATGTGGTCCATGTGTTGAGGCCATGGTCAAGTTTCTGGGTGGTGTTTTGCGTCAGCGGGGGTCGTGCTGAAGGGCCATTTGGTCCTCCTCCATCCCAAGACCACCTCGAAAGTTTCCCGGATGACTCCGTTGCCGGGAAACACGGTATACCGCAAGAGACGCGGGACGGGTCCATCTACAACAACCCAACCCGATCCAACCACTCTCCTTCTCCGTCTTTGCTCCCCGTAGAACTTGATGCCCAACAAACGACGACCATACATACGCAGGATGGTTGGTCTCAACACCAGCAATATGTCGTGTTTGCTAACCCCCCTCCGTTCGCGTGTGACTTGTCAATCTCTCCGCCACCCCGCCTCGCCGCTGGTAAGTAACCCCCCTCCCCACCGGGCGCCACACGCAACAGCACGGGGTGGGCGTTGAGGCCGACCCGGCTTTGGCGCGCGAGCTCTGCCGACGGTCGGGGTCCGCCCCGGCGTTGCTGGGCCTCTGGATGATAGGGGCGTCGGACCTGGCGTTGGAGATCGGAGCTCCGCTTGCGGTGTCGGCCGTCGTTGTTGCGGCCACGATGCTTGCCATGAGGCTCCTGGGTAAGCGGCACCGGGGCGGGAGTGGCCGCCGGCACCGCCAACCCGTCCAAGTAGGAGCGGCAGCGGCGGGAGCAGGCGGGAGGGGAAGAGGAGGACGAGGAGAACGAGGAGGCGGAAGAAAAAGAAGAAGAGGCGGTTGTTGATGCCGCAGGCCTCATGGGGGAGGAACCGCGGATAGGATAATGAAAGAGGTCAGCGATGTAACCGCAAATTGGTTCGCTCCCTCCCTCCTCCCTTTGCTGGTGGTCGAACGGCAGCCCCCGCCATCAGTGCCGTCGTTGATTTTTCTTTGTTTGTAGTGGCGGCACCCTCAACACTCCTCAACACTCCTCAACACTGCTGTATTCAGCGACAGCTCGGCAGGTGAGGTCGCTACGCGGAGCAGATAGCTTGGCCGTGAGACACGTGCCTGTGTTTCCGATCTGCCCCGCATGTCGGGGGAAGCCATGGATCACGCCACCTCCGTGGCGCTTTTTTTTTTTCGCCTTCTCTGGGGACGTGAAACCGGGAGGGGAAGGGGGGCTTGTGGAGGGAAGATTAGGCGAAGGGGGTCCCACTTTCGGTGTATTTGATCGGGGGAGGGTTCTATTGTCGAGAAGCGCAATAGACGTCTGAAACATCGGGAGTGCATTGAACATGTTGGTTGATGCTTTTGAGCGTTGAAACTGGTGCTCCACGGTTGGTTNTGACCACGCGTCCTCGAGAGGACGGAGCATTTTTCCCACAGGACCGATCACCGATGGCCAAGCGTTCCTTTCTACTTTGCCAAAGGTGGCTCAAAAATGTCTTCCCTAGTCTGTCTATCCTAACGACATCCCTTCCCGCCTTTTCAACCCACCGCCTATCTATGCCCCACTACAGCTACCGTCCTTTCCTCTCTATTCCATGCCTCAAACATCTCCCTGTACGTTCCATCTATTTTTCCCGGCTCAGTCACGTACACTTCCCTCTCCTTCTTGTACAACGGACATTCCGCGACTACATGAACACGGTCTTCGCATTCGAAGCCGCAATCACATTTGAACTGATCGGGGGGGGTTCTATTGTCGAGAAGTGCAAGAGACGCCTGAAACATCGGGAGTGCATTGAACATGTTGGTTGATGCTTGTGAGCGTTGAAACTGGTGATCCACGGTTGGGTTTGTGCGCGCTGGTGTTGTGTACAATTGTGTATGGTTTCGTATTTTTTCTTCTGTAAGGAAACTCCATCTCTCGCTTGTTCCGCATTTTTGGTGATGTAAAACCTTTCCGCCTTGTAACTATTCATCTTTTTTATCGGAACGTGTGGCCACGGTACTTTATTTTTTCATTTCGCCGTTGTATCGCTTGGGGGGGGGGTTGAAAGCGGGACATTGCAACCCGTGTGTGATAGGTTTGTGGCCGTATGTAGGAGGAATCGCTGAGGACGCAATCAATAAATATGTAAATCCGTGCACTTATGCAGTCTCCTAGCGTTTTCGAGGGTATTTGGNCCCTCTTCATTTTTTGTTGTCGCGTGGAAGAACCAGTCCGAAGGAGAGACTACACGAGCTACATTTTTGTCCCCAAATCGACGCTGTCGTAGAGCGGAAGGTGACGGCCGTCCAAACAATTATGTCCCCGAGGAAATATCGCGCATGACCGATGGGAAACCCTTTGCCGCACAGGGAGTTACTTTTTCTTTCAAGTGCATGTGTTGTCGACTGCTGGGTTGTAGGCGTTGCGTTTCTCTGTCGTTCCCGTTCCACCTCTTTGCTACGTATTGCACGGTAGTTTAAGCGAACAGATCGACATAGTTATGCAGCGTATGAGATTAGCCGCAAAAGCACATCAATTGTGTGCCTTTGTTATTGAGTGCAATCGATAGTCGAGGGAGCGGCGGCTTCCGTGAAAAGCAACTCACACGCTTGTACTTGGTTGTCGTACTTGCAAGCAAGCGCAATTTAGATTGGCCTTCGGCATTACGCCTTACCCGGTAATATACTCTTCACGAAACCTAAACAGCAAAGGCGTTGCCCGTGGCTTCCCGCCACAAAGACTGGCGCAATTGCGTCAGTCACCCGGTTAGCGTGGTCGACGCCAAGAAAAAAACGCGCACACCCGCACAAACGGCTTGCTCGGTTCAGGCGAGGGCATGTGGGGAGCTGTGACTACTGCGATGTATGTCGGATTTGCCGAGAGATTCCTTTTGGCATTCGCATTCAGCGCATTGCGCATTCTTCGAATGCTGGCCCCCTCTTCAGGGACCTTCATTTTACCCACAGGCACTGACGTCATGTCATTGGTCATCCGGTTAGCGCCGTCGATTCAATTCCCAAAAGACACAAACACAACGAAGCCAGGCAACGTTCCTCGCCGCAGAAGCCCAGAAAAGAGCGCCCCAACATACGCCTTTTTATGAGGGCACCGCTCCTCCCGTCTTCAGTTTACCCAAGGCACTCTCCCCGTCTCAACGCTCCCTACGGCCGCGTCTCCGTCACCACCGTGCTGCACTTCGCCCGCCAAGCCAGGCAAGGGTTCCTCGCCGCAGAAGCCCAGAAAGGAGCGCCCCAACATACGCCTTTTTATGAGGGCACCGCTCCTCCCGTCTTTAGTTTACCCAAGGCGCTCTCCCCGTCTCAACGCTCCCTACGGCCGCGTGTCCGTCACCACCGTGCTGCACTTCGCCCGCCTTCTCGCCCTCGCTTATCACCGCCGCCGTAGCCGACCCTTTCGCCACAATGCCGCCACCAATGCGGCGGCGACGCCCGCCACCCCAGCCGCCGCCGNGTTCGTCGCTCCGGCCGCTGCGCCTTCCAGCTGAGACGGAACAACGACGAGCGATGATCACGATTAGATAGGACGGGGGACGGGGGACGGGTGCTGCACACACACTGTCAAAGAGAGGTGGGCCGGGGGGCGTACGCGCTGCCGTGAATGCCGTAGTCGCTGGACCATTGATCTCGCAGGCCGGGGGAGGTTGCGAAAGGCCGTGTTGTAGTAGCGGTATCCGCGAAACTCGTGTGCCTAGTACGTACGTATCTTGCCATTCTACGTTGCTTACGGCTACAGCAGCCGTAATGTGGTCTTCGTCCACCAACACCCGCTCTCCCAAAAACAAGCCCGACATCCATTTGGCCGCACCAACGGCGCGGCCCACCTCCCCTGTGTGCTGCGTCGTCTGCTCACAATACAAGAGCCAGTACATTTCCTAGGGGAATCCACTGCCTCAATACCTCGGGCTCGAGAAGAGCCAGTGTCTGCAGCAGCGCGGCAGCCAGCGGGCCCGCGGCACCCCGGGAAATAGGAGCCGATTCCGGAGAGGCGAGAAGGTTCTTTGAGGCTGTCAGGACGGCCGACAGGACCCTCGACATCGAACAGGCTTGGCGGACGTAAGCATCCCAGGCGGCACGCAGGCCCTATTGCGTTTTTCATGTTTCGAGTTGTCGGGGCGGGGAGTGGCGAGTACGAGGTGGGGGGAGAGTACTCATCATGTTTTGCATGCCCTGGTTGTTCGGCCACGCTTCCTCAAGAGGGGGGAGTGTACTCATAGTCGTGCCGTGCATGCCCTAGTCGTTCGACCGTTGACCCCGCATCCCTACAAAGCCGGGAAGGAGCACGCCCGTCGGGTTCTTTGAGGAAGCGAGAAGGGTAAAGAGGGCGCATCGTAGCTCGTGGCCCAGTGGGCGCGTAGAAACGGGGGGTACGGTTTGATAGCGTGCAATAGAACAAGTACAACGCTGCTAATCAAAAACGGAACGGATTTGCCTGCGGGTTACGGGATGTTCTGCTGCTCGTACCTCTCCCCTCCTCCCCGATGGTCCATCCTGGTTAGGTAGAGACGTTAGGGTTTCGGCATCAAGCAGCAAGCACCACCAAAACGCCAGGCAACCCACACCCCATCCCAAAAAATGTCTTCTACGTGAAATTACCATCGAGCTCCAACAATCAAACCCTTGCTACAACCGCACCACCCCTTTGGCCGCCGTGCCCCCTCCCCCCTTCCCTACCTGTGCCAACGACAGCACAGCCGACGCCTGCCGCCCGGCCGCCGCGCGCCACTCCCGTGCTTCCGCCGCCGCTTCCGCCGCCGCCCTCTCCAGGGCCGCACGCTCGTTCCCCAGCCTTCGCGCGAGGGCCTCCAGGCGCCGAGCGCCTTCGGTGCCCCCCGCGGCCTTGACGCCTCGGAGGAGGCGCAGGCAGGGGGCGCTGGAGGTGTCGGACGCGGCGCCTTCGGTGATGGTGATGGGTCGGTTTTGTTGGTGGGTGGGGCGGTAGCGGTGAGGATACAAGGCGAGGAGATGACGACGACGTGTGAACGGAAGGGGGTATGTTGTTATTGTTGGTGGTGGTGGTGGTGGTGGTGGTGGTCGTGGTGATGGTGATGATGATGATGATGCTGTGTTGTTGCTGTTGGGAGATTCGGTTGCTATCCATTGTCGGTTGGTCTGGAGGGAAGCGGGGCGATCGTGCAAGCGGGACGACAAGGAACAACTACACGGAAGAGGGGGAGGAGAAGAAGGAGCGGTGTACGACAAAAACAAAGCACAAGCCCAGCATCTGCCCAAAACATTTTCTGGGCGAATTCGAACAAGAAGGTGTTCCTCCGATTCTTGGCAGGCGGAAGAGATCTTAGTCCCATTCTCCCGCCCAGGTAGCGGAAAGAATCGCTTGTTAGCTAGCAAGTGGGGTGCCGGAAGGACCCCTCCGCAAAGTGGCGCCACCAGCTGCCGCCGCACAGAAATCTCTACACTGGTTCCACCGTCGGAACACTCGCCGCGACGAACAAGGAAACACAAAAGATTTCTGGAGAGCGGCAGCCGAGTCCCGCTGTCCCGCCGACCCTGCTGAGTCTGCGAGCACCAAAAGACAGGGTGCGGCTCCAAGGAAAAACAAACAAGCTGTTNAAACAAAGCACAAGCCCAGCATCTGCCCAAAACATTTTCTGGGCGAATTCGAACAAGAAGGTGTTCCTCCGATTCTTGGCAGGCGGAAGAGATCTTAGTCCCATTCTCCCGCCCAGGTAGCGGAAAGAATCGCTTGTTAGCTAGCAAGTGGGGTGCCGGAAGGACCCCTCCGCAAAGTGGCGCCACCAGCTGCCGCCGCACAGAAATCTCTACACTGGTTCCACCGTCGGAACACTCGCCGCGACGAACAAGGAAACACAAAAGATTTCTGGAGAGCGGCAGCCGAGTCCCGCTGTCCCGCCGACCCTGCTGAGTCTGCGAGCACCAAAAGACAGGGTGCGGCTCCAAGGAAAAACAAACAAGCTGTTGAACGCTTCTGGTTACCGCCTCTATCTACGAAGACGGGTTAGGGTTAGGGTTAGGGTTACGATTGCTGTTGGCTCCTCACCTGCACCCTCCGGGGAGCACGGCACCGCCACTCCCAGCGCCGCAGCGGCAACCACGAGACCCCGAAACGTATCCCGCACTTCCGCGATAGCCTTCACCATTCCCCCCTCCCCCCCTGAGTAACCTCCCCTCGCAACCGGTAGCAGCAGCGACCCAACTCCCACGGTCGCGGGAAGCGGCAGCCTACCCGCCGAGGCGCACGCCGCTGGCGCGCGGCCACCACCGCCGCCGCCATCACCACCGTCACCCCCGGTTACGCCGACCAAGAGAGCCTCCAGCGCGCGGGTCGCCGCCGCCGCCGCCTCTTCGAAATGCTGCAGAGACGGCGCATCCAAGTGATACATCCCGCGAACCTCGGGTACCGCGCTCCCCTCATCGGACGCCACCGATGCTGCCGTTGCTGCCGCCTCCGCCGCTGCTGCCGCCGCGCCTTCCGCGGCCCTGGCCGCCACAGCGCCTCCTCCCCCGGCGGCACGCGCGCCCGCCCGGCTACAAACCCCGCCGCCGCCGCTAGCCCCGCCCGGAGGAGTGCGGGAAGGACCAGACAGTGACAACGCTGCCGAAGAATACGGAGAAGCCCCGCCCCATTCCCTTCCTCCTCCTCCTCCTCCTCCGTCATCCGCTAGTAGCACGGAGGCGTGTCCTTCGGCCGGGGATGCCCCCGCTCGCCGGTGGTGCGACTCTCCGTGCGCCGGCGGGGGACACGTGAAGTGATCTGGATCGAGGGCACGGAGGCGGATATCTCGCGGCCGCCGCTGGCCGCCACCGCCGCCGCGCGCGAGGTGGGGACTACTGAGGAACATTCCTGTTTCATTAATTTTGTTGATGCGGTCGGTATTTGCTTCGTTCTGGAGGTAGGTAACGTTTTAGTAGACAGATCAGAATATGGCAGATCAGGTGTGTGTGTGTGTGTGCGAGAGAGTTGGGGCCAGACCTGAAAAATTCCTGTCTTTTTGTTGTTCATTCGTTTCTGTTGTCATCATAGAAGGTAGGTAACGGTTCTGGTAGACAGACAAGATAAGATAGTGAAAGATCAGGCGTGTACGTGCGAGAGAGCTATTGGGGGGTGGGGTCAGGGGGGCGGAGGCAGCAGAGGGAAGGTGGAGCTACTTTCTGTTTCACGGGGTGGCGGGCTGACAGGGGGCAACACAACGAACACTTCGGAGCCAGCAAGTCCTAAAACAACGCCGGGGGCGACCGGGGGACGGGGGGTCATCACGTGACATACTCCTTTTCAGAGCTTATTCCACCGACGTACAACACAAACAGTGCTTCAGCCCCAGCATGAGCCTGCTCCTTTGTGCCTGGAATTTAGTTCTGTGGCGTATGCATACATACTGCGTTACAACCAAACCCCGGGATATCACAAGGGCGCACCACGCGCGAAGGCACGCAAAATTCAGTCCTACCGGCGTCCGGAGGAGGCGAGAACAAGCAAAAGCGCAAAGTTTTTGGACCGAGACCATTGTGTCACACATGCCGACCCCGGTCTTACCGGTACTCTGGCCCACGTGGATCCTTCCGTCCGCCGCCTTCTGCGCTGCCCTCTCCGCCCATCGTAACCGCCTGGCTCGGAGTCGAAGAGGAGGAGCAAAGCGCAACAACATCGTGGGGAGAGAGAGAGGATACGACCACGCTGTTGCACGTACGCTGCGCAAAAACAACAACAGCATGCGGTGAGGTGGTTCGCCAAGGAAGACACAACAACCCTCGAGAAGGCGTGCTGTGGGCGCAAAAGAATGCCGAAAACAAAACACGAACACGTACGACGAAGGTAGACATGGGGACCCTGACTGAGAGCGCCATGGCGACCCTGACTGAGAGCGCCATGGCGACCCTGACTGTAAGCGCCCAAAACAGTAAAACCGCCCCCCCCACCCCGCACCTCGAGAGATCCTTCACGTGGTCGAGGACCTGCCGCCAAGCGGGCAGCGCCGCATCTCCGAAGACCCCTCCCGCCGCCGCCCCGGGATAAAAACCAGCCCCGGTCCCGCCGCCGCCGCCGCCGCCGCCGCCGCCGGGACCTTTCGGGTTTCCACTGCGTTGTCGGAGGAAACGCCGCCGGGGGATCGGGGACCACTACTCGACGAGTTATATTGTCCTAACGAGGCCAGCTCGAGGAGGGTGTCTTCTAGGTGGCCCAGCACCGCCTTAACC